TTGGTTTGGCCAATTGTAAACTGGCCATTTTAAATATAAATTTTTGAATACGGGAAAGTGGGAAAATTCCCATATTTCCTAGTTTAAAATGTTTTATATTGTGAATTTTATTTTTTAATTTATAATTAATAATACTGCCGTAATTTTTTAAATTTAAATTTAATTTTTTAAATTTAAATTTAATTTTTTAAATCTTTTGACCCAGCCAACCAAGCCGAAAATCAACCCAAACCGTTACAACCTGAGTTGGCCGGTTTTCACTAATGGTCGGTCAGTTTTGGGTGACCAACTCCCCAACCCGACCAGGTTGGTTTGGTTGGCTAAACAGCCTGCGACCAAATTGAACGAACCCGTGAACACCCCTAGGCGTTAGGGTGATTATTATCATTTGTAACTAGTAATTATTTGGTTGGGCACTAGTCCGTTTCAAAGATTCTGGTATCTGTTGGGGATCTAATGGAATTCAAAAGAACTATTTATTGGATTGTGGTGGCCTGGTGTGGAGAGGAAGGAATTCCATGAAGTCAAGTGGGATAAGGTATGCAGTCAAACAAATAGGGGTGCCCTAGGAATATTCATTGGATAAGTCAATATGTGGCTGTTCAGTTTGAATGTGATGCTGGGTGGATGGAAGTCAATATAATTGAGTGTTTTGAAGGTGATGCTGGGTGGATGGAAGTTTGTGCAGATTAGTGTGTTTTCTATAAAATCTTTCGTATCTAGTTTTGATAACCAATCAGAGTTGATTCACTGCAGTTAATTTAATGTGGGTAATTACATTAACTCTGAAGGCAAAAGGGCTTGCCTTGCTTCATTCCCTTGATTGTATTCTTACACAGGATCATATCACGGGTGTTACCTGTGCTTAGCCAAGGAGAATGTGATACACCTGTTCTATAGCTCTTCTGCTTCTTGGAGCATTTGTGGGGTTACTATTTTAGTTTCTTTAACATTGCCTAATGTAATTCAAGAATCCCGAAATAACTCTTTGGTTGTTGCATGCATTGAGGGGGAGAAAAACTAAAATTGTATGGAGCTGCATTCCGTTTGCTATCTGTTGAGAAATCTGGAACAAACAGAAAAATCTTTGGAGGCAAATCAAAATGGTGAAAGGGAGCAAATCATCTTCCAAGTGGAAAGAGATTAATGGAGTGAACAATTTATACAACTTGGTGATGGGACTGTTGATCCCTTTAATTACTCTATTCTATCCCTCATTACAGTGCAGCCCAAAATAGTTGCTGTCTCAATTCCCCTTGTTTTGCTAAAGCATCAGCTAGCCCATTTGCACTTCTTCAGGCCCATTAAAATTCAGCCTCAACCTCCTTTGCAATCTTTTCCACTTCCCTATTCACTTGTTTAAACGTCCATGGGGTATGGCTACTGTTTGCTGCCTAGGAAATTACTACTTTTGAGTCCCCTTCCATCTTAATATGTCTGTATCCTAACTGTTTGGCTAACTTTAGCCCTTGTAGTAATGCCAAAAGTTCAGCCTTTAGTGAGTTCCCAGTGCCAATCGTTCTTGAGAACAAATCCAATATCCTCCTTTCAGAATTTCTGAATACTCCTACTCCTGAAACACCCGGATTTCCAAAGGAGCTCCCATCAAAATTTAGTTTCACTTTATTGCCTTCTGGTGGTTTCCACTCCGGCCTTACTTTATCTCTTACTCTCAATGACCATTATTTTTTGCCTGGTTCTTAGAATGCCTGTGACTGAGAAGACTTGAAAGCTATCCAAGGGTTTTACCCAATGAGCTACTTTCACTTTGATTCTATCAATGACGTCCTCAAATGTTTTGCCTTTGTTGCTTTCCACATTACCATCCCCCTTTTCTTTTGTTGTCTCAAGAAGTCACGGTTGACGAGTCCTGCCACATCTTGAGAGGGAACTCACTTACAGCCAAAGAGAGTACAAAAGAATTCCCAAATTTAGAGCACAAAAGAACATGATATCATTAAATGGGATAGGGTCTCACCACTTTCCTTACACAGAGCACACATGAGGAGAAAGGCAAATGTATGGCCTTCTTTGCAGTATATCACAAGTTTTTACCTTACCAAGGAATATTTCCTAGCAGAAGGCTTGAATCTTCGGGGAAATAGGCTTGTACCAAATTTCTTTCACATCGAAATCCCCACCTAGGGGGTTGGGGTAAGCAAGTACTTTGAAGAAGGAAGAATAAGAAAAGAGATCGTTTGGAGAGCCTACCTTGATTCTAGAATCTTCCAGCGAAGGGTCTAAATGGATTTGCCCTAGAAGGTCCAACAATAGCATTAAAGACTCGCACTCGTTTTCCCTTAGTTCCCTTCTGAGGCCGAAGTTCCAGTTCACACCATTTGGACATTGTGCTCCCAACATGGATATAGCTTCCCCCTTGAGGTTAGATAGTGCAAAGAGATTAGGGAATTGATCTTTATGTGGGTTTTCCCCTACCCAAAGATCTTCCCAAAATAGAGTTTTATTACCTTGTCCCACATCGAACTGGATGGAATTGAGGAAAGTAGGGTAGATTTCATGAATTGCTTTTCAAGGAGAAGCCAAAGAAACAGTGAGGGAAGATTTTTGCATTCCAGCCATTTCCATCCATCCCATGAATGCTCTCAATTACTTTGTGCCATAGTCTATTGCTCTCAAAGGGAAACCTCCAAAGCCATTTACCTAGTAGAGCTGTGTTCCTTAATAGAATGTTCCCAATTCCTAAACCCCCTTGTATCTTAGGTTTGCTAACCTGCTCTTACTTGCTCAAATGGTCTTTCCTTTCCTCTTCTGGATCCCAAAGAAAATCTCTCATTCTCTAAGCACCTTGTTACCCTAGAAGGGATTCTAAAGGTTGAAAGGAAATGAGTGGGGGGGGGTTAACTACTGTGGCTCTAATCAAGGTTATTCTTCCACCCAAAGAAATATAATTCCTCTTCCACAGGGCTAGCTTCGTATCAAACCTTTCTAAAACTGGTTTCCAAAACCCAACTGACTTAGGGTTTCATCCTAAAGGTAGGCCTAGGTAACTGATGTTGGGTACTGGTTAAGGAGTGGTTATTGTCACATCTGGAATTGTTGCCAGATGTCAACCCTTGAAGTGGGTGCTAAAGTTCCCCTGTTGACATTTATAAAAGTGATGCGTTTTGTAATGTTCTGTAATGTTTCTGACGTATTTCCTATTGATTTAGGTCTCAGCTGAAACTAATTGTAATTAATTTTCATTTAATCAAATTTATTTTTTCTTGCTGTCAAAAAAAGAAAAAAATTTGGGCACTTGTGTTATCAGTAGGAGAGCTCCTGTCAAATGTTTTAGAGGTTTCTTTAACACTGAGTCACTTACACAGTTTCGTTTACTATTCTAGAATTTTTGAATGCTGATGCTCTTGTGCAGGAGTGCAAGGCCACTTGGTTTTGGGAATTCTTTAAAAGGAAAATTACAGAAACTTCCCTATACTTTTTTTTTTGAATTGGCTAAAACATTGTTGTCAAAAGTAGGCTTGAAAGTTCTCATTGAATCTCTGTTAAAATACAAACCGAAATTTAAATGACAAGAAAATTTTATCATCATCATCATCGTCGTCGTCGTTGTCATTACCTAAGCCTTGCCCCAATTATATGGGGTCTGCTACATGAATCCTGATTTGCCATTCCATTCTGTCAGTGCCATTATCTATCATCAAATTATGGGCGCTTAAAATTATTTCTTACTGCTCCCATGCAAGTCCTTTTTAGTATGTCCTTAGCATGAATTCATTTATTTGGTTTGGGCGCTTAAAGTTACTGCTCCCATGCATTCATTTATTTGGTTTGGCTTTTAACCAAATAAACCAAAGTTTTAAAAAATTGAAATAAAAAATGAAAACCAAACTGAAACCTTAATTTATCGTTTGGCTTTTGGTTATTTTGGTTAAACTCAAATTTTATTAATGTATCATAGTTGTCAAGGTGCTTGCCTAGGTGACTAGGCGCGCTTGGCTGGGCACCTCACCCAAACGCCTTGACTTATAGAAACTAGGCCTCCTAGGCAACAAAAATGATAAGGCGGGTGTCTTATATATAATATCATATATGTTGTTGTATCTTATTAATGTGTGTTAATACATTTTATTATATGCTGTATATATAGTTTATACTTTGCTTTAATGTTTTACTATTGAAATTGAAAAGATCAAAGGGTTTTGAGGACACTACAAGAAAGCTAGAATGAAAAAAAAGAAAGGGGAAAGAAAGAATAGAAGTATAAAGAGGTTCTTTGTTTCTATTCTCTCTCTAATCAAATAAAACAGAAATTCCATCCTTGTTTTTTCAATTTTACTTTCCGTCTTGAATATTTATCTTATAAAGTTAATGACCTTTTGCTGATTTGCCACATTTTTAGTGGAAATTTAATGTTCCTTAATAAAGAGACTTGCTATTTTTTCAATTAATATACATGCTGAATGGTATATAAAACTAGGGAGATAGCCAGAAGTTAGTTCTTTATATTATATACTTTTTATTGCCTAGGTGCCAGCCTAGGCAACTAGGCGACTACCCACCCTAGTGTTGCCCAAAACCACCTAGACAGCTTGAAAACTATGATACGTATATATATTATGAAACCAAATCTCATTATAATATATTATATGTTATATGTTACATCTTATATAATTAAATTCGTGTAATTTAGTTAACTGAATTTCTAATTCTGAAATCTGAAACCGATGCCGAATTTTTGAAAAACTGAATTGATCAACAACCAAATTTTTTGGTTTTAACTGAATTCTACTGACCCCTACTTATCACTTGCAATGGGTGCTGCAGATGGTCTACTTTGCATGTGGCCAAACCATCTCAGTCCACTTTCTCTGATCTATTGAGGCAATTAGAAGTCATATTAGTTAGTGGATATAATTTCATTTTCTGGAGTAATTTCATTGGTACTTCATATTGGTCTATTACATGTCTAATAATTGCTAAAAGTTAAATCATCATTTGTTATTTTACAATATTAATTATAGTTTTTTTTTTCTTTCAAGGTTCATCCACTACAGAGTGGGCACAAGAGTCAGATTTTCCCAACTGGTTAGATCCACATATTTTTGATTCAGAAAATGTTCGGGAAGGTAAAAGATGGTCATCGCAGCCACATCCTTCTGCTCGTCTTGGAGACTCAAAACCATTGTACAGAACATCTTCATATCCTCAGCAGCCACAACAGCAGCAGCACTTTAGTGAACCAGTTTTAATACCCAAGTCTTCTTTTACTTCGTACCCCCCTCCTGGTGGTCGATCTCAGGCATCAAATCAGCATTCTCACCAACTCAACATGCCATCTCTTGGTGGATCTCCGCTACCCTTCTCTTCACCAAACCTGTCTCCGTTCTCTAATTCTCAGCTTCATTTGCAAGGCCTATCTCATGGATTACATTATGGTGGAAACCTAACCCAATTTGCCTCCCAAGGTCTCTCCATGAATAATCGGCCACAGGGTCACTGGGGGAACCAGGCCAACCTATTTTCTGGAGATCATTCCAATCTTTTGAACAACTTGTTACAACAGCAATTGCCTCATCCAAGTGGGTTAGTCCCCCAGCAGTTGATGTCTCAGCAGCAGCAGCAGCAACAACAGAGACTGCATCATCCAGTTCAACCATCTCTTGCCCATTTTTCAGCTCTCCAGTCCCAATTATTTGGTAGCCATTCTTCTCCATCACCACATGTAATAAGCAAGTATGAATCAATGCTGGGGATGGCTGAATTAAGAGACCAAAGGACAAAAGCGACACAAAGGGGTAGGCAGAACCTGCGCTATTCTCAACAAGGCTCTGATACAAGTAGCCAAAAGAGTGATAACGGGTGGCCACAGTTCAGATCCAAGTACATGACTGCTGAAGAAATAGAAAGTATTCTTAGAATGCAGCATGCTGCAACACACAGTAGTGATCCTTATGTAGATGACTATTACCACCAGGCTTGTCTTGCAAAAAAGTCTGCAGGGTCAAGGTTGAAACACCATTTCTGCCCGACTCACCTGAGGGACCTGCCTTCCCGAGCACGTGCGAACACTGAGCCTCATGCCTTTCTCCAGGTTGATGCTTTGGGAAGACTACCCTTTTCTTCTATACGCCGGCCTCGCCCTCTCCTTGAAGTTGAACCTCCATTCTCTGCTGCTGATGGTAGCATTGAGCAAAATGTTTCTGAGAAGCCTCTTGAACAAGAGCCAATGCTTGCAGCACGAATTACTATAGAAGATGGCCTGTGTCTTCTTCTTGATGTGGATGACATTGACAGGCTCTTACAATTCGGTCAGCCCCAAGATGGTGGGATACAACTGAGACGTTGCCGTCAGGTCCTGTTAGAGGGGCTTGCAGCATCGCTTCAGCTAGTTGATCCGCTTGGAAAAGGTGGGCGCACAGTAGGACTGGCTCCCAAAGATGACCTTGTGTTTTTACGACTGGTCTCTCTTTCCAAGGGTCGGAAGCTCCTCTCAAAGTACTTACAGCTCCTCTATCCTGGTGGTGAGCTTACACGCATTGTCTGCATGGCAATTTTTCGTCACCTCAGGTTTTTGTTTGGTGGCCTCCCCTCTGATCTGAGTGCTGCAGAAACAACAACAAATCTTGCGAATACTGTTTCTGCATGTGTGCGTGATATGGATCTTGGTGCACTTAGTGCTTGTCTTGCTGCCGTGGTTTGCTCCTCAGAGCAGCCTCCACTCCGGCCGCTTGGAAGCACTGCTGGAGATGGGGCTTCTGTCATCTTAAAAGCCATCCTTGAGAGGGCAACTGAACTATTGACAAATCCTCAGGCTGCCAGCAACTACAGCATGCAGAACCGGGCCCTTTGGCAGGCATCTTTTGACGCGTTTTTTACTCTACTCACAAAGTATTGTTTAAGCAAGTATGACAGTATTTTGCAATCATTGCTCATGCAAGCCCCGCCGAATACAGCATCTATTGGGTCAGAGGCTGCAAGAGCTATAAGCAGAGAGATGCCGATTGAGCTGCTACGTTCAAGTCTTCCTCACACCAATGAGCATCAGAGGAAGATATTACTGGATTTTGCACAGCGCTCCATGCCTGTTACCGGATTTAATGCCCATGGCAGTGGTAGTGGAAGTCAAATTAATTCTGAATCAGTTCCTGGTTAGTAAAAAAGAAGCCTTAGGAACAATGTGTAGTTGGATTATTGTATTCTCTGTTTTCCAATCCTTATATGCCTGTTCTGTGTGGGTCCGACAGAAAAATGGGATGACAGCATCAGGGGTTCAGCACTTAGCATAGGATCAAGTGTCTTTCGCTTTTCTTTCCCCCCATTGTGCCTTTTTTTTCTTTACTTTCCTTTCTTTTTCAATGTCCCTTTCCCACCTTTTTTCATTTGGTGAACCTGTAGTAGGCCTATATGTGTATTATGTTGAAAACTCTTTCGGGGACGGGGAGTCTGACTGGAAGATTTTCTTCTGGGGAGCTTAATTTTGGTGCTCTGTCGGAACTCCAAACAAAATGGATTTAGGGGAAGAGAAAATGTACAGGGAACATTACAGAAGGCCTTCGATTTTCCTTTCATGTCATGTACTCTTTCGTGCTTTTATTTTCCCTTTACTTTTTTCAAAGAGGGGGAGTATCCTCAATTACTGTTTTTTCTTTTTTTATTCGTTTTTTGTTAAAATGGGTGAATTTCTGTCTACTCTTTATTATGGACAGTGAAATTGGGGGACCTTTGGTCATGTCATGTACTTGGTATAAACAGGTTGATAAGAGAGATGCTCTCTGAATATTTGACGAAGAGCCTGTAACCATTGAAAGCTTTTGGTAATTATCTACCTTAAATGTTGTACCAAGTTAAAGGGTTCTTGTTTAAATTGATTTCCAACTGTTAAGCATCTGGTAATAGATGGATATGCATTCAAATGAGGATATTTTTGAACGAAATAAGAGTTTCTCTTCATTAGGCACTCCCCTTTTTTTATACGGAAGTAGCCCATCCCCCTTCCCCTTGAAAACGAATGTTTTAAAAACTGGCCCGGAATTGGAACTGCTTTGGCCACTGGTTTCTGGGCCAGTGATTTGTCCATGATCCACATGGATAGACAAACGACAAATAAAGTGAAAAAACATTGTCCAGGTTGAACCCGTCTTGGGTCAGTGGATGGTTTTTGGCAAAGGAATGGTTTGTGGGTGAAACAGAACCAGTTGCCTCAATGGTTTTCGGCTGAGCAGGGCATATTATATCAGATGTATTGTATCGGTATCAGAGTAGGGCGATACAAGATATGTTACAAATGGAAACATGTCCTGTAAGTGGCGCGTATCCGATCGATATGGGTGCGTATTGGACCATGTCACATTATATCGATCGATACCAATCTATACACAATGGCATTTTAGCCTTTTATAATAAACGGTGCTAAAAGTGTGATTTGAACTTGAAACACGATGCACGTGACACCGAAAGTTTTAAACCCACCTTCAAAACAACCAAGCCATGTCATGCATTGTGACATTTAACGAAATAACATAATTTTTATTAATGTCTACCCAAACAAATAATTGATATTTATGTTTAATAACTCAAACTAAAAATTAAAATAAATAATATTTAAAATTAATATTTTATAAACAAATGGAATAAGTAATCTATCAATTCTATATTTATACTAAAAGATGATTTTAATCTTAAGAAATTTATACAAATAAAATATTGATAGTAGAATAATTAGCTTACTACTTAAAATTTATAAATTTGTACATGATATATATCTTACATATTTTATATATTTTTATAATTATTAGTTAATATTTTTATTTACATTAAATGACTATATTTATTATTTACAGAAAATAAAAAAATTGTTTACAAGATATTCAAGAATATAATATTAAATTGAATCTATCAAATCTACTAATTTATATTTATATAAAAAATGAATTTTAATTTCAAAAAACTTATAAAAATAAAAATTTTAATAATGAAATAATTAAAATTTGCGTATGATTAATATCTTAGAAATTTTAACTGATTTGATATATTTTAAGTTAAAATTATATATTTTCATAAATTATTAAATGATAATTTAATTCATATTTGAGAATTTAATATTTGGTTAACTTTTTTGTTAATGTTAAAAAGTAAAAATAATAAAATAGAAAACCATTGATATAATAATTAGGATAAATATAATAGGTCCATCTTAGGCTCTTAATTATTGCATTGTACAATATTTGTGCATTCTGTTATATTAATTATAATATATTTTTATGTGCATCATTAGATATATATTTCTTATATATTTATATGTTATTTATGGCTATTTGACCATAAATTTAGTGTTATTGATGTATTTATGAAACTTGAATATGTTTCCCTAGTATATTCAAGTATTTCCATATTTTTCGTTCGTACCTGTGTTTTCAAATCGTATCCGTATCTATCCAAGTTATCCGATACTTGATACCGATACTTTAATCCTTGGTTCAAAGACGGTTTGAAAACCATGTTAAAAGCATCTCAACCCTGATGGCAATGGGATTAGATCCTGGGTCTTGGCTGATTCAGCAGCTTCCTTACGGTGAAATGGTGAATCTGCCAATGGGGCCACCAACTAGTTGCTGACAATATATCCCGGGACTCACCCCCATTAGACACATTTGATTGCCTATTGCTGACAATGGAGATCGAGTCCTAGCATAAAAAAGGGTGGCAAATTGGTGGGTGGTTGAGTATCAATCCATCCATATTGATTCACAAACCAATTTTCCACCCATAATAATTTAGTGTTAGTGGGCACAACCCAATCAGACCCTGACCCTCATTAACCCTTCCTAAGCTAATCCCTATCTTAAGAACTTAATGTAATTGCTTGAGGAAAGAAAACAACCCTTAAAGTTAGGTTTGGTTAACCATTGTTGGCTCCCATTGTCTCTCATAGAGATAGATTTGAAAGTGGGTCCATGTGGGCTAGATTTGGCATAAAGAACCGTCTTGAGAGAGGAATCTAGATGGACCCCACAAGGGAGATCATTAAATGATTTAAAACATTCATGGGGATGATGTGCATGCACTCATGAATCATATAGAGAGCTACAACTTAGTTTAACATGCAAGCACCTATGGTGCATGTGGCGATTTCATAAACCACACAAACTGGGAATCACATTCACATAGTGAAAAGAAAGGCTTTAGAAGCCCAATCCATTTAAAATTAACACACCACCAGCCCATAAAACATGCTGCTTTTATATTAAAATCCAATTCCAATGATGGGCCCAATTGCAAAAAGCAATTCAGCCCATTTCCATGTACAGGCTGGTTTGGGCTAGTCTTGCTTTAACTTTAATTACTTGGCTTTCCGAGTATGGACAAATTGGTTAAGGCCCAATTAAATACCCAAGAAAAAAAGAGCATGGCCAAATATTAGTTAAGGCCACAGAAATAGAAACTATGCGGTCCACTCGTTTGCATAGCATGTAAAGGGCAAATGCATGTAGAATACAGCCCTCCTATCGTGTCTTTTGTTCAGTTTTACATATAATCAATGAAGCTGCTTTCTATTTATATTAAAAAAAAAAGGTAAAATACAAAATCCTCCCCTGTGGTTTCTGACAATCATAAAAACCTCATCTAAAGTTTTAATTTAACAAAAGCCTCCCTTGAATTTTTGGAAAACTCTACACATACCTCCCTTCCGTCACTGAGCTAGATAGAAAACGTTCAACGATGTATTAATTTTTTCAAAATGACCATCCTACCCTTCTAAAAGGATTCTCGAGCCCAATTTCATTCTCGCATGACATGAAAGCGTGATTCCCACAAATTGAAGATTTGAAGTATGTAGACAGACTATAGGCAATAGCACCAATAGGCATTCCTCATGTTGGTCATATGAAAAGTATGTAGACCATTCCTGTGTGGCTGTGTCCCTCTTTCTTTCAACCTTCTTCCTTTCTCTGTTTTTTGAGAGATATGTTGAGGCCTGCTTCGCCAAGCTCCAAGGTGAAGACTTCAAATACTACATGCATACCTATTCCATAATCCTTGGTCGGAACAGAAAGAAATCAACTGTCGACGTCAACCTTGCTAGCCTCGGCAGTGGCATGAACATCTCCCTCTCCCACATCTTCTACGATTTCTCAAAGTCGTTGGGAAGAATGGATGCTTTGTTGAAGGCATCCTCCACCTCCCCAGTAATCCTCCCGTCAAGCTTGACTCCCAAGACCTTCTCCAGATCGGCGACAAGAAGTTCTATCTCCTCCTACTGTTTGCAACATCCTTGGTGGATGCTTTGCCCGTCACATCCCTCACGCTCCTCCACCCCTTCTGTCTTCCACTACACATCAGCCCTCTGCATGGGTTGCGTTGCCTCCACCGCCGCATCACTCTTCCAAGACACACTGTCGTTGCTGGTGCTAGCAAGAAATTACGGAGACGAGGGCATGAGATGTTTGGATATGGTTGATCGGGAGGAAAGACAGGGTCATCTGGACAATTAGAGAAAAAAGTCAGAAACCAAGTCAAGAGCTACTGTGCTTTCTGATCTTTGTGGTTCAGGAGAATGGATGCCCATGGCAAAACTTCATTTTTTTGAGCTAGTAGAGCAATATGGAAAGATCTGGCTTCAAAGGACTGGCCTGTCAATGAATCCAAGGGAAGGCCATGGTTTGGACTTGAGGAATATCCAAACCATTTTGTCATCAACACATGGTCCAAGGGGTGTGTAACGTTAGAATTTGCTTTAAGGAAAAGTCTCCTCTTCAAAAAAAGAAAAAATTGTAAGTAATTATGATGGGTAGCAAAACCACATGTGATAAAGAGAGTAAGAAATCATCATCCCTGTTCTCTATCTTAAGCATTTCAAGTGTTAGAAGCCGCACAACAGAGACGATGTAGGTAGGAGTTGAAGCAAGAAACAAGGGACGACTGCATCGCAGTGATGAAGACAGAGGGCATTGGGTGGGTGAACCATGTATAGATGAGAAAGCCACACAGTTCATTACAAAGTTGTATGCAACCCACATCTCAGATCTCAAACGGCAAATTGTTAGAGTTCGGTGGATTGACTCAGCAATCAAGGATGGAAGATTGAAAGAAGAAGAAGAAATCGGCAAAGAAATAATATGAAAAAACAGAAAGGAAAAGAGAATAAAGAGGTTCTTCCTTGAATTGGTGGAGCTTGGATGAGAGATTGCATCCAGCGTTCCTCCTCTTTCCAGATTGGGATAGGAAAAGAAGGTGAAGAGGTCGACAGAGGAGGAGAAGAGAGGATAACATGTCGTAAAACAGATGCAAACCATTTGCAAAAAGGTAAAATAGGTATTTGGGAAAAATTGATTCACCGGTTTAACATTTTTCATCTTGGTTATTGACGGAAAGGAGGTTTTTGTCGTGTTCTTTAAAAATTTAGGGGAGGTTTTTACTAAAATAAAATTACAGGGGAGGTTTTATGATTGTTAGAAACTTGAGGGGAGCTTTTTGTATATTACCCAAGAAAAGCATATCAAACCCCTGGTTCGTCATCACCAAAACAGTGATATTTGGACTTTTCAGAGTCCAACCCATTAAACCCTAGAACCGTGCAACAATTAGACTAGTTCAGGTGTCATAACCTAGGGTACTTCAACCAATTAAACCTATTATGAACTGAATATTCATAGCAGTAAATAATTGGACAACTACATAAAAACTATGCAAAAATAGTGGTTGGGAGTGTGGTCACCATGGTTTCAAAACCGAATCGGATGGGACGGTCGGACCGAAAAAACTAGGAACCGGTCAGGTGATTGGTTCCGTTTTTCCCTAAAACCAGATTTTCTCAAAAAACTGTTGATTTTGGTAAGCAAACCGCTGACCCGGGCGATTAACCGTTCAAACCATTCGAATGATTTTTTTGTTAGAA